AACATCGAACCCGCCAAATTCGAATTGAGCTCAGCAACTAGACTCTTCAACTGTGTATTAAATAAAATTGCTAGCTGATTAGGAAAAGTGACACAACTATCATCTTCAACTAGGTTTGTATCTCTCTGATTTGGTATGCACCCTATTGGCCCAACATTTACCACAACAATTTTTCTAGCTCCCAAAGTAAATAACCTCTGCATATACAAAATAACTCATGTGATGATCTATGGTTTTTATTTTATATTTTAACTTGAAAATTAAAGATAGTAAGTTGAGAGAATTATTACATTGAGTTGTGTTCGGAGTTTTGATATCAAGGTGGTGACAAAGCTTTCAGGAGAATCTAATTTGTACATAGAATATGCAACATGTGGTGCTAAGTAGTTATTGATAAAATCGTTTGAACCAATTGTGACCGAAAACAACGCGTTTTTGAATAGATTGAGAGCTTCAGGTACGCCGATGCTGGAGATTATGTCTTGTCTGGTATTTGCAAAACAATCTAACTGTGCGTCAAAGTTTAATCTACCACCCTATAAATAAAATCACGTGTACATTATTATAATGCAAATTCATAGGAAATTTTAATGTTATGAGCAAGTGAAGCAAAAATTTACCAAAACTTGTCCTGTGAGATTAAGAATACCACCCCCACCAGAAGCATAATTAACGCCTTTTAGAATCTGTGGTCCAATTGTTGTTGGTGCCAAATAAGGCGGAGTTAAACCAAAACCCAAATCCTGACCTATTGATATCAGATATAAATTAGTATTAAGACGCCCTAAAAATACTTTTTTATCGTATAGAATCAAACTTAATACTTATACTTATACTTGCATGTTATAGAGTCTTACCGATAATGTCAACTATGGTTCTTCCATTGGTGAATCTACCTGTTGGTCTACCAAAATCAATACCAAAAGGCAAAAAATTAGCCTTACTGAGAGAAAGAATGTAGTTATTGTTTCCTACGTCAACAAGTGAATCTCCAAATACAAAATTGGCTGGTAGATTGTTTGAAGTTGAAATCCTTAAAAAGACCAATACTATGAAGAAAACTCCAACCTCAATATTAAGAATTGTGAGTTTGTTAAAATGGAACCCCATTACAAAGTGCAAGATCAATGAGATTTATATGTTACATAAATCTATACGAAAAAATGTATCAAAATGAATAAGATATATAGTGTACACAAAGCATGACACTAGCTAGAGAAACTAATGGAATGGAGTATTATAATAATAAACAATGCGTCATGGCTTGTGACCAAATTGAAACCATGTTACAAACTCTTAGCCAGAACCGTTTGGTTGGGAGAATAAATGGGATTTTTTAAGTCTTGGGTTGGTGATAAAATTGAATAGTCATCACACTATATGACATTGTTTCCCAGCTTTCGTCACTGGCCTGCAAGAGCCTCATCCATCTTGTGAAATTATGTGCAACACAATGATATCAGAGCATGCCTAATGGGTTTTAGGATAAAGTTTTTTCCATCTATTGACAATAAAAGAGGTTGGTCAAAGTTTCACATCTTTGCTATTAAATGTATATATCTTAATATGGAAAAATGAGAGGCACACATACACAAATTATTTAACAAATGAAGAGTTTATTTCCAGAATGTGGATGCACCATACAAGTTGAACATGACTGGTGTCCGGTCATAACCGCGTAAATTGTAATGGGAGGGGCAGTTTGACCTCAAAATCTGGGTAACATTGAAGTTCGGAAGTAATGCAAGTGGGTCTTTTTTATTCAGAAATATTTCCCACCGTACGAGAGGAAAGGACACCTTATAAAAATTAGGAAAATACCCTTAGATTTTCGATATATATATATATATATATATATATATATATATATATATATATATATATATATATATATATATATATATATATATATATATATATATATATATATATATATATATATATATATATATATATATATATATATATATATATATATATATATATATATATATATATATATATATATATATATATATATATATATATATATATATATATATATATATAATAAAACGCAATCTACTCATTATTAAATGACACATCGGATAAGTGAAATTTTATTTTTAAACAACTTTTTTAATGCGCTCATGATCGTATTCATTTAATTTATTGTTTATTAAATATTTTATTGAAATTTTTGGAAATACATTTTTAAAATTTTTAAATGTGAATTTTAAAGTTTGTCATTTTTGTAGTAATTTTTACCAACACACTTTTAAAAATATCAAACGTGATTTTAATAAAACAGTCACCTGCATGATTAGTCCTCATACCTATTTTTGTTCAAAACCCTTTCCACAAACCCTTTCATTCTTAATCAAGGTTTTCACTCCAAATCTTCATTTTTAATTAAGGTTTTCACTCCAAATCTTCATTCTTGTGTGTCATCACATTAAAATGAGGAAAAAAAGTTGAGATTCAAGGTAAATATTTTTTTATTTCAAGTCTCATTGTTCACATTAATCTTGTTTTAAAGTTGAAAAAATTTATGTTTAATCCGAAAATGTATTTTTGGATTCTGTATAAAAATCCTCCAGAAATGCATTTTCCCAGTCAGTCTGTTTTCATTTTTTATTTGTCCGTTTTCAGTTTTTGTGTCATCGTTTTCATTAGATATGGTGCACCCTAATGTTTTTCCAAAATCTAATGCGTCTCCGGATGCCAAACCTGTTGTTGTGAAGGAGGTAGATGTCGACAACAATTTAAAAATGAACAAGAGTTTGAATTTTGTGATCTAATACTTCAATGGATTCATATAGAGACATCTAAATTGGAGTTTGGTGTTATAATAAAAAATTCTGGTAATGGTTTAGATAAAAGATGTGCATTTATAACAATGACTTGCGAAAGAAGTGGAAAATATAGAACTCCTCTCCGGATTTTCAAACGAGATGACACCGGTTCAAGAAAATGTGAGTGTCCATTTAAATTGGTGGTTATCTGTTGAAAAAAAAGTTGGAGATTTAATGTGATATGTGGTGCATTAAGAAATTCCAAATATTTTTTTTCATTATTTTTTCCATTTCTTCATCTCATTAGATTTCACCAAGACATAGTCTTTCGATATTTTTAATCGCATGTGTGATCGCAAGAGGATGCTTATATTTTGATTACGTAGGATTAGAGAATGATTTTCCAATTCTTAGGATTGAATATTAATAGATGATTTCTTGGGCCGAGGTAATAGGGAGAAAAGAGTTTTCCTCTACTTTCCCAACAAATACATGGGAGTAGGTGAATGAACGGTTCTTCCTCCTAAATTAGAGGGAGGTTTCATTCCTTTCGAATATGGCCAAATTGAGTTTCTCTAGAGCACTCCGTCTGTCACGTGCAGGTAAGATGAATTAGGTGGTAATCACGAATCCAGACCAGAAAACCCATGTCATAGACAAGCCACCTGAGCTGGTGTCCGCCCGGTTCTTTCCATGCCTTCAGACTTCTTTTTTACGGACCCAATAAAGTTATCTCATTAATTTAGATGCACAATGGTATATGTGAATCCTACGGTAACTAATCCTTCAAGCGTAGTCTGGGGTGAGTCCGTAAAGTATTGCTTGGGGCAATTTCTTAAAGCATTACATGTGGACAAGTCACTCAAGCGTTCCTTGGAGAGGCATATACAACATTTAATGCTTAAGCATGCTAGATTTTTTTCTTGGGAACACGTGATAATGTGAGTCATCGATTACATGCATGCGTCGATACTGAGCGTAGATGCTTCCACTCTTTATTCATTAGCGTAACACACGAGGCCGAAGAGGGAGGATAGTGTTTTCTTCAAAATTAAAGTTTTCAAAAAGTTTGGCAACGAATTTTACATAATATGCGTAAGTATTGATTTATTGATTTACACTATAATGAGAAAATATAATAAATATGAGAGATGAATGGTCTAAAATACATAGACACTTCTTAACTTATTTTATAAGCAATCAATATAAAACCCTCAATTTATATATAAAAAGTGATAGAACACCTATTTAGACTTTCATAGCATGTATTAACTAAAAACAGATAAAAAAGATTGAAAAATCATAATTCAGGATGCAAAGACCAAGCCAATGCAAAACCATGCAAAGCAAGTCTCGCTAGATCATGATGAAAGGTGCGCTTAGCGAGTTCATTAGGAAAGATGTCACTTCAAGGCTAAGGTACTTCATGGTGAAGAAACAGTTTGTACGTTAAGTGCAGGGGTGGTGCGCCCAACAAAGCAAGGCGACTAGGGCAACCTGTCAAAGAGCTACCATTGCTTAATCCAGAAGAAATCAGGCTCACTAGGCGAAGATGGGTGGTGTGTAACACCCTAAACCCTAAAGGATTGAACCAATGTAAAATTTGGACTTAATAATAGGATGAATAAAAGATCAAGTGAGTAACTATAGATATTAGTTCAGCTCATCGGTTTGACGATATCTAAAAACTTAAATCGATAACTGAATCAAACCAACTCGAATTTATTAGTTCGGTTCAATTTTTTAATTAAATAAAATAAATTGATATTTTCAATTTAGTTTAATTTATATAATCAATTTAATTGATTTTTTCTTATAAGTTAAAAAAATTACACTTTTTTATTTTTCAAACATGGACTTTCAAATCCATCCCATCATAATTATGAATTGCTTTTATACGAAAATAAAAAACACAAAATATTTTATACTTTAATTTTACTATTTTCCGAGTACAGATGAAGATGCAAAACGTTATATTGTTTATTTTATTATTCATAACAAATTATCATCTTTAAATATTTATAGAATTTTGAAATTTGAACCAATTTTATCTATAGTCTTCTAATTTATTTAAAGATGATAATTATAGTTAACTCAAAATGTAAAGCTAGAGAAGAAGAATAAGATTACAATCATGTCACATTTTCGAAAGATTTATTTTTATTTCCTTACTCTCATGAATAGCAACACATTACATTTCAAACAAATCACAACAAACATTTTAATTTAAACCCTATCATCAGCACCACCTCCAAAACCGCCGCCTGCCCCGCCTCCAAAGCCTCCACCAACTCCACCGCCACTTCCAGCACCACCTCCAAAGCCTCCACCAGCTCCACCACCACTTCCTGCACCACCACCAAAGCCTCCACCAGCACCACCTCCACCATCACTTCCAGCACCACCTCCAAAGCCTCCACCAGATCCACCTCCAAAGCCTCCACCAGCACCACCACCACTACCACCTCCAAAACCTCCACCTCCACCTAGACCACCACCAGTACCACCTCCAAGTCCTCCACCATAACCACCTCCACTTCCTCCACCAATACCTCCACCACTACCACCTCCAGCACCACCTCCAAATCCACCACCTAAACCACCTCCACCACCTAAACCACCACCTCCACCAAAATTCTCAACAAATTCTTCTTTCTTAAATTTCCGGCATTCAAAAGTTCCCACCACCAACACAAACATAATAACAAATACTCCAACATACTTGCCTAAACTCCCCATCTTAATTTCCACAATGTAACACACAAAGCTTGCTTTGCACTTGTGATGAGAATGGTTGGCAAGAAGTTCTATTTATAGAAGCACATAGCATTAACAGTTTCGAAGTAAAAGCCATTATTTACGAGTAAAAAATGTAAAACCTTCACTATCAACAAAAACTATAAGGGAGATTGCATTTATTAGTCAATGATGAAGCTAACGACTTCGTACAGTTCTTGTCATCTATATCGGGCAAGGTTGATCCCACCATGTGTATATATGTGTTGGCCAAAAACCATATTTGCGGCGTAATAGATCGGGTAGATCATCATGTCGGTGTCAACATTAATAAGATAATTGACTTTGGAATTAAGTTCTAATAGTATATAACATGCAACTAAAGTGTTCAAGTAAGTAAAAGAAAGTAGAGAAAAGCTATGGTAAACAAAATCAATGTCATAATAGCATTAGAAGCAACACGGATGATATTAGTGTTACTGTACTGATTCATAATTATGAATGATTATGTTTTAATTTAAATTATTAATTTTGAAATCTTTCTTAATAATTTTTTTAAATCTTATTTTATAATTAGCTAGTTATGTTGCTCGTCATCATTAGATCTATTATCTATAGTACAAGATTTATAAGTCTTCTCTCTGGATTTTCAAGTTTATTATTCACAATTTTTCTATTATTGATTCTATCATAAAATTCTCTAATATTGTCATTTTTAATATTATTATTTCTCAACGTAATATGTCTATCTTTACTACACTTAATTTATTCTCGTATTATTTTTAACCGACTAACACTCTATCTCGCACTAAATTACGGGTCTTATCGAATAAAATATCAAAAACTCTCCTGTATTTTAAGCATTATGTATAAATTCGATTATTTATATCGGATCTATTTCTCAACATATATACTTTTTTTGGAAAAATATATCCTTACACTATTTTTTAACACTGCACCATATTTGCATATATACAACATATAAATTTTATTTTTTAATAATTTATTTTAGCATGAGTTTTTGTGCAAGTCCATTTTGCTTTGTTGTAGTATATGATGTAGCATACGGTATACGTGAAAACCGTGTAAAAATAGCACAGCTCCTCAACATATTATGGATGATCATATTCTTAGCACAGGTTTCACCCATGATATTAAATATCTATATATAAATAATTTAAATTGGGTAACCAATGATCCGAGTTGGATCCAATAAATTTTTGGACTTGGTATATAAGAAAAACAATTACTCAACTAACTTTTCCACTATCAAAAGCTCTTTAGATAAAGAGGAGGAGAGAAACTCTAATAAGAGTGACTATTATCACAACTTCCAACACACACAACATCACACACTTTTTTTTATAGAAAAAATTGATTTCTCCACTTTCAATCATTATCTAACCCTATCTTTATTGTCAACAATGCCGTCATTAACAACCTCTTGTCAAAACACTCAGATACTTAGTCTCAAGATATTGTATGGAAATCAACTAGAACGAACACACATGACATCTACCGTAGGATTTGGTAAAATTGACCTAAGTCTCACATTCAAGTTTAAAAAGTACAACTAATGAGCAAGCACTTCACAATTTAGTAAAGAGATCGCCACACAATTCCATCAAAGAAAACAAATGAACAGTTTCTGATAGCAAGAACGTTGCTTTCAATAGTAAGTGTTTGAAAAGTTTGTTTGAATGGCAGATGGTGTATATATTGTTGAAAGTATAATTCATAATATCCTTTTGTGTTACTTAGAAAACAAGTAACAAGTTAGGTAGTTATAAAAATCTTGTTATGCAACTCATATTCTCTTTATATTCAATATTTATTCTTCTTCTCAATTCCTAAAATGTGAAGGACAAACTTGAACATTGCAACGTTGTGTGCGTGTGTATGTACATCACTCGAGTGAAAAGTGTTGTTGAAGGTTGTTGCATCAATTGAGTGAAGATTGATCTCATTCAATCGAGGTTTTGTTCCAACATCGGGTATCAGTGTCTGGTTATGTGTTCACGTTAGGTGGTGCAACAGTAACTTGAAGTTTAAGAAAGGAACCTGTTGTAGCATTGTCATTATGTGAAGCAGAATACATAATTGCTTCCCTCTGTGTCTGTCGAGTAACACGGATGATGAATCTAATTGATGAGATTGAAGGTAGAGATCATAAAGCTATGATTATGAGAATTGATAACATGTCTGTTATCAATTTGGCTAAGAATTCGATAGCACATGGAAGGAGCAAACATATTGAAATGAGTTTCCAATATCTTAGAGAACAAGTAAGCAATGGAAGGTTGTAGATGAAGCATTGCAGAAGTGAAAATAAAATAGTTGACATCAGTACCAAAGATGTACATGGTGAATTATTCAAAAGGGTGAGAAACATGATGAATGTAGAGAGTCTAGACACAATGAATAAGATGATGAATTGAAAATGCAATTCATAATGTCCTTGTGTGTTACTTAGGAAACAAGTAACAAGTGAGTTAGTTGTAAAAAATTTGTTATGTAACAAAATTCTGTTTTGGAAGTTAGTTAGGCAAAATGAGATTACTTGGCTTGTAAATAATCTCAATATAAATGGCTCCTAAATTTGTATAATAGGGATCAATAAAATACTCTCTTCTTCTTCCACACTCTCTTTCTATTCAATTTTTATTCTTCTTTTCAATTTCCAAAGTGTGAAGAACAAACTTGGACATTGCAATCTTAGGTGTGTATGTGCATCACTCGAGTGAAGTGGGTTGTTGAAGATTGCATCAATCGAGAGAAAATTGATATTTTTGAACCAAGATTTTGTTTCAACATATATGAACCTAATCTGAAGTAGGTCCTTTAGTTGTTTGAGCATGCTGGAATTGAGAGTCGATGATGTATTGATTAGGAAGAAGGAAATTAAGTGTATAAATAACTTCTCTTTCTTATGAATATGTTGTTTGAATTAGTTAAATTGAGGAAGAAATTAGCAGAGAAGAATTATGGAAGTTCATGAAAAAAAACCACACCCAAGTTTCACTTTATTATTCTATTAAAATAAATGGAAATTAAATAGACTACTAACTGCTAACACGTATCCACTAAAAGGTCCATTAACTATTTCTACTAACTTGCTAGCCCATAAATTAACATGTGAGATAATTAAGCAACTCATAACAAACTGGAAAATAAATTCCTAATATCAACTAAAATAAGTTTGACTTAGTTTTCAATACCATCCCTTAATTCAAACTTGCATAGACCCAGTTACTCCGTGAAAATTGATGCTTGACTTCTCCAAGAGACTTAATAAATATATCAACTTCTTGTTCATTTGTGCCATAGAATTATAGAAAAAAATTCTTCAGCAACTAGCTTTCGAATGAAGTGCTGCTACACATCAATGTGCTTTGTTCTGGCATGGAAAGCTAGATTTTTTGTCATTCTGATAGTGGATCGATTATCACAGAAGATTTCAGTAGCCTCCTTTTGCTCAAAGTCAAGATCAATAAGCAATTTCCTCAATCATAAATCTTGTCTTGATGTTGCACTTACTGTCACATATTTTGCCTCTGATAATAATAAAGCAATTGTATCTTACTTCTTTGAACTCCAAGTTATTGCACCCGATCCAAAACTAAATACCTTGCCAGAAGTACTCTTTCGATCACCTATGAATCCAACCCAATCACTATCAATGAAACCGATTAATTTGAAGTTTGGAACCTCAGCATACCAAATCCCATAATTCACTGTAACTGCAACATAAGGAAGAATTATCTTTGCTTCACCGAAGTGTTGCTTAGTAGGAGAATGCATATACCTAGACACAACACTTACACAAAAAGAAATATCAGCTCTAGTGTGTGTGTGTGTTAAGTAGTTTAAACCACCCACTAAGCTTCAAAATAGTCTCGGATAAGCCTTTCCACTCCCATCTTCTTTTTGCAGCTTTTCATTTATGTTCATAGGAGCCGCAACAGCCGCACAATTGCTTAGCTGAAATTTCTTCAAAAGATCAGTGACATATTTCTTTTGACAAATGAAAATGCCATATTTTTCTTGCTTCACTTCTAACCCTAAAAAATATTGCATCAGCTCCAAATATGTCATCTCAAAGGTCTTCATCATGCTGAACATAAACTCATCAATCAACAACTTTGAAGATCCAAAATATATCATATCATCAACATATAAACCGACCACCATAAAGTCAAATTCATCTGTTCTTTTTAAATAGAGAGTGAGCTCATTTTCACTTCTCATGAATCCCTTGTTTAAAAAAAATGAATCAATTTTGTTGTCATTCTTCCATTCGACTTTATCTGCAGCTTCCTCATAATGACTTGGATTAGAAGCTAATAATGCAAAATCACAAGATTCATATATCTCTTCCAGAGATCTGAATTTTCTGGGCGGTGTGCTGTTGGAGGAGCCTGATAAGAAGCTGCTAGAAGAGCTTGACGAATTAGGAGATCCTTGTTGACTAGGTGTGGAAGGTGATGGACTAGAAGGTGTTTGATTTTCTGATGGCTGAACCTCCATATCTACATGAGCTTGAACTGAAGTGTCACTAACCGTTGAGTTCCACACCCACGATGCTTCTTCATCAAATACTACATTTTTGCTAATAGTCACTTTGCCACTAACTGGATTATATAGACGATATGCTTTGGATTGAGAAGAATATCCAATGAATATACACTTATCAGACTTCTCATCAAGCTTAGAACGAAGATTAACTAAAGAATATGCTATATAGCCAAAGATTAACTAGAGGTGGCAGATTGGATGGATGTGGATTGGATTGTTAATGGATGGATTAAAACAATCCATTAGTCCATTAACAATCCGCTAAAATTTTCTTAAAATTATCCAATCCATCCATTAAGAATAAAATTCATCCAATCCATCCATTACCATATTTTTAATGGATGGATATCCATCCATCCAACTCTTTTTTTTTGTAAGAATAAATAAAAATTTTTATTTTTAAAATTCGATTTTATTTTATTTTTGAA